AAACATCATGAGGATAGATGCCAAAAAAGATTTAGGCATCTGGGTCTCCTCAAACTTGTCCTCCTCACTACACCATGAGAAATCTGCCCACAAGGTATTCGCCATTTTACGGATGATCCAGCGCACCTTCTCTCGTATTACTCGCACGGACTTCAAAATACTTTAGGATGCCTACGTCAGACCTCTCCGTGAATACGCCAACCAAGTTGTCTACTCAGGTCGCATGAAATACGTAACCCTCAATGAGCGTGCGCAGGGAGCCGCTACGAAAATGGTTGCTGGCCTCAAGTCCGTGGACTACGAAACCACTCACGCGATGTTTGACCTCTTCCCCATGGGGTATCGTCGCCCCCGCGTGGACCTTATTCTTACGTATGTTCTGTTTGAACAAAGCTAGGCCAGCAGGTTTTTCACCGTTGACCCAGCAACACACGGCGGGGGCATGGTAAGATTTTGTAAGGTCAGAGCCCACAGACTCGTTAGGCGACACATTCATAGACAAAAAATTTCTCATTTCGAGTAGTGGCTGCGCGAAGTGGCCTTCCTTTGACGATTGTCCACGCTCCTATCAGAACCCAGTTCAAAGCACTAATAGACATTTATTTATGCGAATGCTCGCGCTGGTAAGCATAATATCCGGCGCCGAGAACATAAAGAGCAGTGCTACACCCTTTTCTCACTTGTGCCTTTCAGGTGAACGACAGCCGCTGAAAGACAATAACAGAACCGACCCGGGAAACGTTAGGAAATGCCTCGATCCTGTGTATCGATCCGTGAGTTCGTGAAAACCACCGATGTGAATACATTGCTAGGGTAATAAGGTGTCGGTGCTTAGCATTCGCACAATGGAATGCAAGTTTCCAAAGCTATGACGTGCCCCTGATGGACCAAGGCAACCGGGCAACCGAGTACGGAATACCAGTCCAGGCTTTTGAGCCCCTTTAAGACATCCCAAGTCCTCAGCGATGCCTGGAAAATAATTCCTACGGGCTTTTATACCAAAGGTATAATTGCCTCAGTGGATGGTGAAATTTGGTGAGTTGAAAAAATTGAACTTAGATTGGGATAGTTATGGTTTGAGCACTTACACAACTAAATGCAACACTCTGGTACAAAACGCTTTACTCCACTTCTAAATATTTTGCAGCTAAGAGCATTATGCAGCAAATGGGCCCCAAGGCAACGTGAGTTGCGGAAAAAGATCAAACACTTACAATAAACGGAACTTACAGATAGTTATGAAGTTGAAATTGTTCATTGAACTTCGTGGCCAGCGTGGATGCAGACCTGGTGGCATGCATGAGGGATGAAAACCTCGTGTAGTTGACGGCCACGCACTGCAGGTAGGGTTGTGCTATTACGTTGCACCATGGTGCATGTAAATACATGCCACCTCTCTAGTAGCATAGATGCCTCACCCATCGCCGGTGGTTCTGAGCCTGGCCTTCAATTCAGGAATACCATGAAAGGACACCGTTGTTGTTTGTTTGTAGCAGGAGTGAACTTGTCCCAGTTGTCACTTGTCGCAACGCCGGGAATACAAGCGACCGACAGCTGCACTTTCTCTTGATTAATATATAAATACATGGGGTACCTTGAAGGTACTGTTAGAGGCTCACGGCCAACGTGCAAGGCGTTGCCAAATCCGTCTTAGTTGTGCTGCATCATCCTAAGTCCACTTCATCAACCAGACATAACATACGTTCTTTTTTGTTCTCTGAAACGCTCATGTACACACAAAATACAAATCCCTGAGTATTTCCTGAACACCAGCAGTCACAGCCAGCGCCTAATGGCTGCTTTTCCGTGCACTATTAATTTCTTCCCAAGCTTCAAACTTCGGCTGTGGCTGCCCAAAAGCCCCATGCAACCGTCGTCGATTCAATATGGCTGGCCCCCAGTCTGCAGGCACATGGTTCTCCAAATGAATAAAAATTGTCCGTGACTGTGTATCGGTCTGACTCTGTCTGTGGCAGCCTTCCAGCCTAACCCAGATCCAGCCGCTTCGAGAATGAGTATCGCCTCTGCGGTTGCGGCGCCCTTGACGACCGTTACGGGGTGTCCATAAACCGATATATGTCAGTGCCGTGGCGGCTATACTCAGAGTAATAATGGTGATAATGTTTATTCCCAACTTGTGGGTGGCATACCGTCCGGCATGATCATGCGTTTACAGTCAGGCTGGGGCATGACTGGGGGATCTGAGGGTTGTGGGGATTGCGCGAAAAGGGGACAACATCATAAACAGTGGGTAGTACTCGATTAAATAATAACAGGTTTCTTTCGCAACTTGTAGGGAACAATGTGCATGAGGTCCAACTAATTCAAAGTCTCAGTCGGCTGACATGAACTAAAATTGGGAAACCATTGCTGGCCATGAGTGACCTTGGGCGGTTGGATAATTGGCCGGAGTCACAACGAGCAAAGGTGGAGGTGGAGATGGGATAATTCGAATTGGGAGAACGTGGCGAGTTTAGTCCCAAAAATATGGTGCAATCTGAGGACAAGAAGACTCACTGGTTGCGCTGTTGTAGGGAAGTCGGATGGAGGGTTTAGGTTGGATGAGGACACAGAAGTGATTGAATTCGAACGAGTAGTCCAACAGGTTGGATTGAATATCATGGTGGTAGTTGGGGTCAATGAAACGAGTAGGTGAGGGGGCTCGGCTGGGAGGAGGAATGGAACAGTTGCGGGTGTGCCATCAAACTGTGTATTGCAGTGCCATGCCATCATTGGCCCGACATGCTTCAGTTTTTCGACAGCCCCGTGACGGACGTCACCTTTGAGATGATGTGGCTAGGGTGTGCGGTTTAGTGGGCAGTGGTATTCATTTCAGCCTGGTCGAGGAAACAATCTGAAACGAAACCGATACGGGATTGTAGGTTTTCTTGGTCGGCTTGGTGATCCTGGGGCTGTAGAACATTGGACAGGTGAAGTGTATATCAGCTAACCATTTCGTCCAAAACGGGCACTTCCGAACTTCAAAGCTTCGGAAGATGAGGGGATGGAGGAGATTCGCAAAACATAGTAAGTTTGAAAGGATATAAAATGGGATAATATGTATTAATATACACAGAAATAAAAACATGAGGTCTGCTGCAACTAGGGTGATGACAAGTGATTATATGGAGTAGGAAATAGATAGATTTGTACTTAGGAGGCTGGTCACCAGGGGGTGAGCTTGCTAGCATACTATATTACATTACAAGGGATCTAGTAAAAGCCGATATGAACGCGCAGAGGCGTGGTATGGGAATCAGAGGTATAAGGGCTGGCGGGAGTGGACCTGGTTGCAACCTTTTGTCCACTTGAACATGTAACTGCAACTATGAGCAAATTTTTCACCTGGCTCTAACCGCCTCCGGGACGAGTTCATTCCGAACCAATGAAACTTCCATTTTGATTTGACCGACCTGGTTTTCTGCTGCAATTTCGGTTTGCCACAAGTTCAATTTTGTATATTATTCCTTTTGGCCATCTGCACTGGCACTATCTTCTCAGCGGATCTATCCCTTACACCTGAATTTTGCACAACAGCGACACCGAACATGCCATTTGCCTCCACTTTGAATTACCCCATCTCCATCACAATTTTCGGGAACCCATTATCCGCAAAATGCTCTCAGCTACAAAACCTCTACAAGTGGAGTGAAACTTGCTACGCCAAAACGTTGCGTTTTGTTGCATATGTGCCCAAACGAAGAACCGTCCTAATCTACTTTCATATTTTTGCAGTTCACCAAATTTCATTGTTCAGTGAAGCGACCATGCCTCTGGCCGACGTCTTGTGGGATAATTTCCCAGCATCACTGAGGCCTCGAGGCGCCTAAATGGAGTTTGAAAAAAATTCGGACTGGTGCTCTCAACTCAATTACCCCATTGCTTTAGTCCATTAGGGACACGTCATTGCTTCGAAAATTCAATTCAGTTGTGCGAATACTGAGCGCTCAATTTTCGCTATTTCTGAAGAGCCATTTACTCAAACGCCCAAGGTCACTGATGCCCGGCAATGATTTCCAGTTTTAGCTCATAGCAGCCGGCTGCATCTTTGTACTAGTCGTACCTGATGCCCATTATCCTATTTTTTCGGTTCCCGCAACGGCGATGACTTTTCACTTAAAATGCATGCCCCGTTGGTTTACCCCCATCGCCGTTGCGGCGTTGCCTGCCCCTTTTAGTTTGCAACGAACCCATCACGCTCCAACCGGCATGTTCCCTACGAGTCAGGAAATAAACCTTTTGATTTCATACTCACACTATCGCGTCTTCTAGACGGGCCAGAGTCTGAGAAGCAAAAATAAATTATTCGTCTGTGAACTCAACTTTGTGACAGCCTGAAGAGCATGGCCGCACAGCGGGCGAGTTCACTACCATAACAGCCGTGGTATAATACGCGATCCGCTGCACACTATCTGTCACTGTTATTAGTAAGCTAGCCACAAAGCACACAAGAGCCCAAGGTTGTGCTCCTGGGCCACCATCTTGATTAATTGCAGCATCCTCAACCACAGCCGGCAGGCGGGCGTTTGCAGACTTTGAGCCTTGTGGCAGCAGGATTCTCTCGTGAAGAGTCAACTGGTCAATGATAGCTTTAGTCCCCTTGGGTTCCTGGCCCTTGAGCATATCCGCAACTCGGTTCAATAGCTATCCCAGACCGTCAATAGCTGTCAGTGGTGCCTTAGGAACAGGTTTCAGGGGCAAATCATCTTCCGGTAGGTGGTAATCCGCCATCCAGGAACATAAGAAAAAACCCTATGAAGAATATCTCTACCAGTTAAAACCGACTAATCTCTAAATACAGAAAATCTAATGCTGGAGTACCACATAACCCGATAGAAGAGGCTGTTGCATTCTTCAGCGGAGAAGTCAGCGTTCTTGGATCACTCACGTGTCTGGAAAACGGAATATAAGTTAAATTAGTTATTCATATTGATCGCACATTTTTTGTTCCAACATAATGCCTCCTGTTCTTTCCTCTCTC